CTTATACGTTTTGTGTTGCAACGTTTACAAAAAACGCATATAGTCGGGACGCCCCAGGCTTGCCGGTGCGATCATTTTACGCTAAAATTGCAGATCGCTAACAGCAAAAATGATCTCTGTGCTGTAATTTAGTAATTGGACTCGTATTGGCTGAGTTCTGTCCTCTCCCCGCATACGTGGGGAAAGAGCGCCGGATGAGACGAAGGTGTTGCATTATGGGCTGCATGGATCTCTAGCGTGCATGATTATCGGCTTTTTGCATGAAGCCCAGTCGTATTTCCGGTGAATCCTCGCTCATCGAGAAAATGGAAATTTGAAGGAAATCCGTAGAGGGGAACGTGAAATCAGCAAAATGCACTCACTCTTGAGTTTGCGATAAAATTGAGTATTTGTCATGTCTGGGCGCATAGAATTTTGTTTGTCTCCAGCGTGCACAATTATCGGTTTTTTACATGAAGCCCGGTCGTTTTTCTAGTGAAAGCTCGCTTATTGAAAAAATGAAAACTTGAGGGAAATCCGGAGAGGAATGTAAAATCTGTAAAATACACTCGCTTTTGAGTTTGCGACAAAAATGAGTATTTGTCATGTCTGGGTGCATGGAATTTGTTTGAAATGAACCTATTGATGAAACATTTTTGGGAATATTTTCAGGACGGAAGAGCTGAACGTTCATTGGTACTTGTAGCAATATTGAGTGCATTTTTCATCGTTGTCGAATTCACAGGTGGTGTTTTGGCTCATAGCTTGGCAATAATGACCGATGCGGGACATATGCTCAGCGATTTGCTCTCATTCATTATCTCGATCATTGCAATACGACTTGCTCGATCTCCTGGTAGCTGTTTCAATCAATATTTTTCAGTATTTGCAGAATTTTCAGAAATTTACGTAATCGACAGTCATTTCGGTGGGTGGTTTTTATTGATATTTATTATCACTGGCATTACTCCCGAGTGCCTCCGATTCTCAAGAAGAGTGGATTCTGACGGATTTTGACTTTTTATGCACTTTTACCATGCGCTTGGTGCTAGAGCTCTGCAACAGGCAGCAAAAAATGCATATTTTGACGACCCTGTCTCTGTGTGTATATGTATATGTCTGTTTATCTGTCTGTGTGTGTATCTGTGTGTGTACAGGCATTTCTACTTAGCAACCACACAAGCTGCGATGCTGAAATTTTGCCAGTATGTTCCCCGGCCAAGTGCTTCCTCACGAAAGTGTTATCAATTATCACGAACGTCTACGTTTCACGTACGGGCACGTGAAAATTTTGGCAGTAAACTTTGGCAGTAATCTTTTGTTCGCAGATTTAGGAACGAGAAAAGTTAGAAAGCTGAGATTTTAAAGAAACGTTTCTTATTTATGTACGAACAAAAGATTTCGAATTCAGCTCTGTAGAACCGCCCAGTCCCACGTACGGGATATTTGAGAATTTTGACGGGGAAATTGCTAACTCGGAAACGAAAAAAGCTAGAAAGCAGAATATGCAAATTTTAAAAGAATACATAGATTTTAAAACTGTCTTTTAGCAAAAGAACTAGCAATCTTTCCTGTTATAGCAGCTATTTCATTACTTTTTATGCGTTTTTTGCAGCAATGCAATGCGAAAAACGCATATTGACGAGAGGTTGTCTG